CCGTAGCTTCAACCCGTCATTGCAATCAAATAAATTAAGCTGATTAAAAAAATGATAAAATTTCTTTAACTAAAAGTCTTTAAAAATGTTTCATTTTTTTTTGAAAAATTCAAACTTGGACACCCTCTAAAATTCATAGTTTATTGTGGAGACCAATAGAGTTGTAGTCAAGACCACCTAACCCAAGACCAAGTCAAGACCAGAGTGTCTCGAGACCGAGACAAGACCAAGACTTTTAGAGCCTGGACCAAGTCGAGACCAAGACCAGAAAAAAACAAAACTAAATCCCTAAAACATACAGTATACTGTACACAGATAATTAACTTCATATGTAGTGCTAATATTGACTAAAACTCTTTGTGTGAGGGCCGGGTAAAAATTTTTGGTACAGAGGCAGATTGCTAACATTAGCTAGCTAGCATGGGCAACATCATCTGACCCCTCTTTGTGCTTTCTTTCTAAGTGATGATAAACGTTTGACGTAGTCCCCTCTGTCTCTGAAAGCTACAGAATTTACAAGTCTGTATGTTTTCTCCTGGAGGTTCTTTTTTTATGATTTATGTAGCTGAATTGTATTACTGAAAATTTTATAGACGTCTTCTTCCACTCCCAGACAACTACTCCTCTCTTTCTTGGAGTGCTTTGTGTGAATGTTAAATAAACTAGACAATATTCTGGTAATTTCGTGATATTTTCACAGATGTGGTCTTGACTGATCTTGAAATAAAATCTTGAGTCCTCAATGTCCTAGATAGGGACAAGACCAAGATGATCAAAATAGTGGTCTTAAAACTGGTCTTGAAAACTACAGTACAAGAAAAACAATGTTACATTTTTTAATGTAAAAGTTATGTAAAGTGGTTGATTTTTCTCCCAAAGAACATGAATAAAATTAACAGACAACACAAGCGTTAACAGTAAGTTTCTCAAGATAAGAAATCTAAACCCAGATAAGTAAGACTCTCTCACAGAATATTAGGTGRGGAATTCATACTTTGTTTAACTGAAAACATTATTTTATACTGTTCCCACACATACCTGATTAACTCCTCCCACCACCAAGAAGCGGTCTCTGATTACGATGGAAGAGGCGGAGCATCTGGGGAAGTTCATGGGAGCCAACCTCTCCCACTTTTTCTTCTGAGGATGAAATGCTTCCACTGTGTCCAGAGCTGACGGCTCGTGGCCTGGCAAACACACATTCTTATCAAAGACAATAAATTGGCCATGAAGATTCAACACACTTCCATATGTCATAAATTACACATTTTTTACAGGAACAAGCACATTAAGGAACAATAGCAATAAATACAAACACAAATAAAACTGCAAACAGTMGTAAAGGGCCCAGGGTGATCTGGATTGCATAAATGTCCAGCTAAAGTAGTCGCTGGTCCACATTAGCATATGGGCATTTACAGGACTTGATGTCCTTTTATCATACAATTTTACAAAGTTTTGAACAATTTACAATGATGTTACCCCCAAAGCCATGTTTGATGTGAAAATGGTCAGCCTCAAAAAATAAATAAAATAAAAAATACCRCGCCCACACCAATCATATTTACCACCAACTATTGATAAATTTTGTGCACAAGGTTGTGAAGAAAAACCTATGTAGACTGGTTGYGTGAACTCCCATGAAGGACACATGAGAGTTTGCTAAACCAGTGATATGTGWTTTGTTGAATTGGAGAAGGTGTCTGATTGTGTCTTTTGGGGACTCCTGTGGGGGGTACTCTGGGAG